AACTTCGGTCACGGACAAACTTCAGTCACGGACAGATTTACTTCCGCTTCCGTTACAGACAGACATTCTCGCTTATAATATAGATTCCGCAGTGGAAATGCAAACAAGGGCGTCATAGTTATTACAGGTTGACGTATTTATTCGTCATTTTGGGATGATGGGTACAGGCAAATAAGGTCAAGCAATGTCACTTCTACTTTCTACATAGTATCCTCAATCCTTATGGCAACAATAAGATAAGTGATTTATGTTTGGCAAATTAAATATTTTGTACATGAGCTAAATGTTTTGCAAATTACTGAAGCAAAAAGGTACAAATTGATGAAGATACATACATATACATGTGTTGTAGGGGTAAATATTTATAACAATTACTTAGAATTGCCGCGGGTAGCTACTCGCTACTCACAGTCCAGCTACGGGCTATACGGAGCAATAACAGAATTAACTTCTGACCAAAATCAAATTGATTTTAGTGATTTATTTGCTCTTTTGCATTAATAACTATGTATGTGTCACTTAATCGAGAGGCAGACCAAAGTACAATACATTAAGTATATCATAATGCAATAAAAAAGAAAAGCTGCAATGCACCATGTAATGAATATATGCATAAATATTTATGTTTTTTATTACCTTATAAAGTGCCTACGAACATTCATCACTTGAACTTGTCAAGCCAAGTAAAAGCATTCTATTGCAGTCAACCAATCTTAGCAATGCATAGTCCTGAATCAAGACTCCTGATAGACAGCCCAAAACTTCTCTTGTGTAAATATGCAATTCTACATATATACATACATACGAATACTTGGTGTCGAGGGTACAGAAAAACCCTAGTTTATGTCCGATATCAGAAAGTCAAAATCGCTTTCTAACTACATATGTGGTATTTTGCTTTTCGTGTTTTATACTACTTTTCCTTGTCGTCATCTAGGGGCGTACCCATTGTATGCGAAGGCATCTTTGTATAAAGAAGGTACATATGAGCTTCTAAAAGATATATGTCCTTTTGAAGCAGATACCTTCTTTGTGTAAAGTAATGGAAACAAAATAAAATTTCAAGCAAGGTTGCACCAATAAGAAAAAGTCCGTTCTTGTTTTTGCTTGTGAGACAAACACTACATGGATACACAGTGACTGTACATACATATGTACATTGCAGAGCAAAAGTGATGGGCAAAGATTTTTCACAACCTTCAAATCTCAAATTCTCAACAAATACGCGGAATTTTGGAATTATTTCTGGTTCATGTTAAAGACAAATTAGTGGACTACAATCTAGGTAATTATTAATATTTAGCAATTATTATTACCTCTGGAGTAAATTAAAAACTGAAATAAGTCGTAAAATTGATGAGCAAAAGTGATGGGCTTGCATTCATCCGACCAATGAATCGAATTCCAAAAATTCTGATCCTTCATTACTTGGTGTCGTGCAAAAAGAAGACGTTTCTTCTGATTGACGATGGGTTTGTGTGGCCTAGTTTTTGCTCGGAAATTTTTTTAGCCACCTTTTTTCAGAACTCTAGCAATGGCAATACGAATAGATTCCTTATCAAACTCAATTTTTGCTTCGACAAAAATTTTGGTGGCTGACAGCTTCGGATTTGTGAGTGCTGTCCCGAAAATTAATTTCTTCAATCTTCAAATAAAGGGTGTTGGCCTTCCCTGGCGTTTTTAGTTTCGAATGATACCGTCTTTCTGTAGTGCCTAAAGGTATTACCGACGGTTTACGGCTCAATTGGCAATTTCCTGTTGAGTCGTTGGACCGTTTTCGACGTTTTCATGGTGTTGAATGATGAGCTCCCTAACCCTCACTTGGCACCTCCTTCGCTTGACTGATATTGTCTATATTGTTTTAAATTTACATGAATTAGTACAATTACAGACTTATAATTTATGTAAAACGACAAAATCATGACTTACAAAATTAGTTTCAAAACGTAGCTTGGCTAAAACGTTTCCTGCCCATCACTTATGCTCATCAATTTTACGACTTATTTCAGTTTTTAATTTACTCCAGAGGTAATAATAATTGTTAAATATTAATAGTTACCTAGATTGTAGTCCACTAATTTATCTTTAACATGAACCAGAAATAATTCCAAAATTCCGCGTATTTGTTGAGAATTTGAGATTTGAAGGTTGTGAAAAATCTTTGCCCATCACTTTTGCTCGGCAGTGTATGTACCTATGTATTTATCTAGTAGCGTCTCCAGTTTTCTTAAAACATTCACATCCATTCACTCCCTGACCAACAAGTGTGCATCAACGAGAAGTGTTTTTCATGGTAAGAAATATATTTACAGCAAGGAATTGAATAAATCCACAGTTCAGATAATCACGACAACTCGATCATCTACCTTTCTCTTTTGTAAACTTATATACCTATTTTACATTAAGCACTTTGTTCAGTGTGTACAAAAAAATTGAATTTATTAAATGAATTTCAATAGTAAATAAATATATATCTATGCATTCAGTAATTTAAAATTTAAACAAGCCTACAAAGTTATACATGTAGTTCGCAATGTCAATTGTTTGTATTATTTAATATTGGGAATAATTTATTAATATGTTTATTTACACCTTCCGTTTTACTATAGGCATTGACATTTTTAAAATTTCCATCACCTTCATTACTCGAAGACAAATTTGAGAAAAATGATGTCCGAGTAAGTGTATCAATCATCTTTGACAATAATACATACTTAACTATTTCATGCATAAATTAACATTTTTTTTTACACCTCACCCCCCAGCCCACTGCCCCCCACGTACTATCCCACCACCACTAAAATTGACTTTCCCCCCGAAATCTACACCTTAATGGACATCCTGCTAAATGAAAACAGTGCCAAGGACGAAATTATATCTGAAGCCACGGCCGCATTGGGGGACACATTTTCCAACTTCGCCACCCATTTCTCCTCCCCTTCCAACATGCTGGTCGTTTTCGACGCGATGAAAAACTTCATCACCATACAGCCCTCCTTCTCCGACCAATTCAACTACACGAACCAACTCGCATTAATTCTGAGCAGCATTGCCATCCCGGCTAAAACTTTGTAGGAATGAGAAATAACGGTATAGTGCAAAAATTTGGTGACCCCGGTCTCCATCGAAGGAAACATTTCCCGGTATAGCCCCAGACGTACTCCTTTGTACTACGCGACACCATATCAATGCACCCGTCAAATCTCACTCATACTTTTCTTCCCCACAGTATATGCCCTTGCGAAAGTAGGTTCGGTCCCCGAACCTTGGGAGGGAGTTGGGATACGGAGATGATGTCACTCCTGCTCATGATGCGATCTGTGCGGCTTACACTGAGACAGGCCTGACGATATGGGGAAGATGCTTGCACTGGGCAAGTAGGTACTGCTCTCTGGGAGTCAGTGTTAAATCAGTACTGCTCTCTGGGAGTCAGTGTTAAATCAGTACTGCTCTCTGGGAGTCAGTGTTAAATCAGTACTGCTCTCTGGGAGTCAGTGTTAAATCAGTACTGCTCTCTGGGAGTCAGTGTTAAATCAGTACTGCTCTCTGGGAGTCAGCTGATTGGAGGAGGGATTGGAGGTTGGGCTTCCGCTTTAGCATGTGAGAGGTATTGAGAACGAACTTCTGGTTCACCACATGTAGGAATGAGAAATAACGGTGTGCAAAAATTTGGTGACCCCGGTCTCCATCGAAGGAAACATTTCCCGGTATAGCCCCAGACGTACTCCTTTGTACTACGCGACCACCATATCAATGCACCCGTCAAATCTCACTCATACTTTTCTTCCCCACAGCTTATCACTTATTTTGAGGCACACGTCGCTAGACAAGACGACCAAATTGGGCAGGACGTGGCTGCCTGGGTGTCAACTGCAAATGAGGAAAATATAATCCCGATTTACGCCCCGTTATTGGAAATTGTTCTCGAGAAAGTTGGATTTCCATCGCAGCAAACAAGTTGGGCGCCGGTCATTACAATGTTGCAAAATAAATATTGCATAATTTTACCAATTTGGGGTAATAATTGGCTGACTGAAGGGGCTTCGTCCCTGTTGAAAGTCGTCCCATCTGAACTTAATAATCACGGTCGAACCGAATTGGTGACACTGCTCCAATTCTGCATCACGAGGTCTCTTAATCTTCCAAAATTTCAAGGTTTGCTCAAAAATATTCTTATCGCGTCTGAAAAGGATGATAAAACTGTGAGAATTTTGGTAATACAATTAATCCTGAAAGCAGTCCAGCTTTCAATGTATTCTCCAAATTTCTTAATTCCGGTCGACTTTTTGAAAATGATGAGGGAAATTAGTCCTACCGAGGTGATTGTGAATTTTACCCCGGTAATGATGCTTTATGTGGGGCAGATTTTGCAAGTTTGCAAGAATACTGGGTACGTCGAAGAAATGGTGGATATTCTCAGTTATGAAGATTTGGAGGGCCTTTTCATCGGCGACGTGGTGAACGGAGTGGTTGCCATGACGACAAGACACCTCCATCCGATCAACAGCAAAGTGTATGCCGATGTTTTCAAGGAGTTGCGAAAAAATAATGGGAAACTCACTCTGAACACGGAAACTGCGGAAAATTTGCTAAAGTCAGCTCAACATTCAATTAAAACTGATAATCTGGACAAATTTGCACAACTGCACTCTCAGCAAAATTGCCACCAAAATCGTCTCCTCGTGTAGGTACTATGCAACTCTACCGTAGGGTGATAATATACCTCCGCCTGTTGACAAATATGTTTTGTCTCCCGAGCGGAGGTAAATAGTATTATCACCTGTTTGGATATAATTTGTTACTCCCGGTGACAATTTATGCAACATGGAAGTAACTTGTGTCTCTGAATGGAAATAATTTACCTACATATGGTGATAATATGAGATAAGTTATCTCCATCCTGCGCACATATTTATCTCCTTGCGGTAATAGATTAGAACCCTGGGGAAGCAAACATAGTTTATAAAATATGTATTTATTTACTTAAATAAGATTTGGTTAGAGATTAAATTTCTTCGCATGTCTCTACATACTACGTACATACACTTAAAAATATAAAAATTAAATTGTGCAGGCTTATATATATATGTACATACTTATATTACTTATAATGTTAGTGAAAATTGATCCTCGTACTAGCTGGCTCGCTGCTGAAGATTTACGTTATCTGAAAATCAAATAAAATTAAAAATATTATCCTGCAGTACTCAAACTAAAAAAAATCGCAGATATACAAATAAAATAAATAAAAATGAAGTGAGGGCCCACCTGTCACCTGTTTATAATTTGGCATTTCGATCATTTCTTTGAATTTGACGCTGGTTATGAATTCAAATTAGACCAACTGGTCTAATTACGGCCAACAGAAATGAAGCGTCAACTGTATAAATTTTAAAATCACACTCAAAGAGAAATTAAACTAATTACTACTACTTTAAATGGAGTTTTATCTTACCATAAAAACGTCTTCCACGAAGAGTTCCGTGGAACACGCAACGTTAGAGATGAAATGTTATTGCAGTAAAATTGCGAAAATATCTTCATCTCAATCTGCGCCAAATTCATCTTTGAACGAAATTTGCGCATCCGGATCTACAAAAAACTTGTTTTAGTGTAAATATTTATAGGACAAAAAACAATAAAATTACAGCAAAAGCATAATATGAACAATGAATTAAAATTATTTACCTGAAATGTAGGGTAATCCATAACTTGAACCTCTAATTACTAATTTTTTCCTCTGGTAAGATGCAAAACTCGAACAATTTTCTTTATTCTGCCAGGTGCGAGAGAGAAACGTTTGTGAGAGAAAACTTAACTGCCACTAAACTTTAGTGACTAAAGTTTGCGCTGGGCTTTAAGGAGACAAATTGTCACCTATTGGAAATGATTTTGGAGACGAAATTATTTCCTCGAAGGAAATAAATTATTTCCGGATAGGATATACTGTTTGTCACTTCCAATGTTGACAATTTTGGTGACAAATTTATTACCTAATGAGAGACAGAGGTTGTTACCTTGTCAGGGTAGTAAAAATGGTAATAATTTTGCTTCTAAATTATTGAGAGTGTGGTTTTCCAACTGATCGAAATTTGCGCCGGATCGGACCGTAATTTTGTGGATGTCGATGTCAAGAATAAATTCGTGTCAGATTTTGGTACCTTGTTAAAAAATCGGTTAATCAGAACAGCGTACACAAGAATCGTACCGCTTCAAATTTTCTGCGCTACTTTCACCTCTCTGATCCAGCTTGGATTTAACATTGATGGCGAAACCTTCACAAACATGAATGACTTCCAAACTAGAGAAGTTTCAAAAATGGGAAACGAAGAGAAAATCTCGTTCCGTGACATGATGTCTGCCACAGTGGAAAAATGGGGCGAATCTCTCTCGACCAAAATTGGCCTCGACGTGTGGAAAAATCTTTTAAAAGATGAACAATTCGATGAGAATGGAAGCCTAGCAAACGCGATTTTAACCAGCATTCCATTCTCGGATGAAACGTGGGACTTTATCCTGCACGAAGTCGTTTGGAAGGAGACGCCATCTCGTGAGGATAACATTTACCGTGCCCTCGTCACTTTGGCGAACAATTCAAAATTCCCACGCTCTCGTGTCACCAACCTGTTGAACCATTGCTATAACACGTTACTGCCGTACTTGTTCCATGCCTTCCTCGTTGCTTGGGTTAACGACAAGAAAAATGAAAACATTTCCCCCGAGGTAGAATTGATTTTAAAATACGGAACACAATATCGAGGCTGGATCGATCAGTGGAATCAGCAAGTTTCTTACAATTTATTAGCCCTGCTTCGTAAATTTGTGCCTTTTTACTTCATCCGAGATTTTCCAGCCGATTTGCGATTGTTTTTTGATTTGCACGAATCTCTTATCACGAGGGCGAAAGGGGGCACGTTTTCTTCAGTGTACTGGGTAAAATGGATGATTTGGCAGATAATCTTTGTTTTTGGGGTGAATATCGCGGTTGAGTATAATTTAGGGTTGATAAACAAGGTAGACCCGGAATCGGTAAGGTTGGGGGTGGAATTGCTGCTTGATTTCCCGATGGAGAAAGGTACCTCGTTGGAGGTGGAGGAAAGTCAGGTGACGATAATTGGGTGGCAGTTGAACCATTTAAAAGGGGCTGGATGGGTGACGGAAGAAATTAAAGGGGACATTGGAAAAGTGCAGGATAAGATTGGGAAAGTCTGTGGTAAGGCTTTATCTAAGCTAAAGGGGGCATGAATGTTTAGCTGGGTTTGTATATAAATCAATAAATGTGCTGAAAAAAATTAAAAGAAAAATTTGAAGAATGTTCAATCAGAGTATTTATGTAAATATGTACTTCGGTATTTATTAATTAATCACTCATAAATCTGGACAGGGTCAAGCTAATTAATTTGGCAGTATTTCAAAATAATTTAATCTATTATAAATAGATATGATTTTTCACATGCTCAATTACTTCGTTACATATACGTACATACATTTGTAGTGCAAATTTTGTACAGAATATCAAGTCTTCATAAGTTTGCTCAAACTATAAATTGAAACTATGTATTTACAATATTCTTTCTAAATAGATATTAAATATGTACGGTTTAATGACTTGGGGGAAATAAAAAATTAATAATTTGTATTTATCAAGATTTCATGTTCCATACAAGTCCAAAGTCTCTGAAAAGAATTTGCAACACATTCAAATTATGTACATATGTCGGGGAAATAATAATAGAAAAAAGTTTCCGGAAAAGTTTGGCCAGTTTACATCAATAGTCCGACGTTTATTAATTAATCACTCACAAATCTGAATGGACCTAAGCTAATTAATTTGACAATGTTTGAAATCATTTTATTGTATCAAGTTTTCTTATATCTTTGCTCGTTTTACATAGGTAAATAAATAAATCCATACTGTCTTAAGTTATGTCGTAAGTTTTAACCAATTTATTCCATCTGATTTCTGCAAATTGAAACCATGTATGTGCGTAGTACGCACATACAGGATCGGTAACAGAATCGGTAACACGTGAACGCGGTCGATCTTTAATTGCTCCGAAACGGGTTGGAGTTTCGGTTCCAAATTTTGAGCATAACGACATGTGATTATTGACAAGGGCTGAGCAAAAAATTAGCTCTCTAGATTCAAAAATGACCCGACCATTGACCTTAGAGTAAGAGGGTACCATAAAGACACTTTCCAAACTTAATTCTTCGTACACATACATAATTAACCACTTCAAAACTCAAGGACAACGAGTTTCGAAAGGCCAGATACATAAGGTACTTAAAAATGAAGGTCAATAACGACAAGCTCGTACCAAAGGACAACCATCATGCCTCAAACACGAGTCCGAAAAGTGCTAATTCGGCCCGTGCTTAAGAAAATTGACCTATTGACCTCTAAGGACAACCCACCACCCCAGAGAGCAGTGGCACGTCTAACTAAAGTGTCAGAGACCAGTTTGTGACGAGCAATTAATATTTTGTGGAAGCAAAAACGAAGAAAAATCCGAGTCCATCAGCTGACTCGAGAAGCATAAAAAAATCGTCGTCTGACCTGCAAAAAAGTTTTATATGAATTACCTGACAAAAGATAAAATTGACTTTTTAGTGTCGTTGGATGAAGAATTATTTTCTTTAAAGATACCAACGGTCAGAGAAAAATTTACTATACAACCAAAGAAGAAAATAATTCCACAAGATTGGCCATCCCGCACACGGAAAAGTTTTGCAACAAGTTCATGGTGGTTGGTGCATTATCTGGTCGTGGTCTCCTCCCACTTATCAAAGTTCCAAAAAAAGTGAAGGTAACTGCGAAGTACTTCATTGACTTTGTTTTAAAACCGCTTTTGGAGATTCATCTTCCAAAACTATATGGCTAGGACACAAAAAAGTGATAGTTCATCACGACGCAGCGTAATCGCACACCGCCCTTTTGACCCAGGATTACGCCAAGGACTTAAACACTACACTCGGGATAACAATCATCCAAAATAGTGAAATACTTATTAAGTCACTCTATGTAAGTCCCAAGAATTTTTTCGGCTTTGGATATCTGAAATAAAATCTTTTCTCCGCCACCCAAAAACTTTTGACGGAGTTTGGAAAGTTTTGAGAGACGAGTGGTCTAAACTTGACCTCGCCATGGTCAAATCAGTGTACAAAAGTTGAAATCGCCGATACCGACTTGTAACTCTAGAAAAGGGCTTTCACATAAAAAATGTTCGAGACCTCTACTCCAAGCCGTTCAACCAGTAATTTAAGGTCAAAAACGTTCACGTGTTACCGATTCAACCTCGGTATGTACATATATGTACGCATTGCGTACATATCTACAATTATTTTGCTGCATTGTATTTGTACATATGCATGGTTGGAGACTTCTCAGCAAATTGGATTTGTCTAGGTTTCGCTATATCCTACTCTTTATGCAAAAGATGGAAACTATTATGACTGGAAATGTTTCAGCTCTAAATTTATTAGTCTAAACCTGAGAAGAACTTGTACCCCTCATTAACTAAAATATGGCAGTACTTATCCCATACATTTGCATCCTGTAAATAAAATCGGTGCAGAGTCCATTTCATTTCTGGGGATATTTTTGGTGCATCTGGAAATATTTACGTAAGCGATATTCTCATCCCTTACCTTGTTCTTGGAGACATTGCATTCTCAGAAAAGCCTTAAAATCTGTATGCAATGCACAAGCTGTAGATTAAATTGCATACAATATTACACGACTTATCTTTCTACATGTTATTGGGTGAGGGAAACATTGGGTGGAACCAGCACCCAGGATTAGTCTGCATTTCACTAAATATTTCTGTCTCCATAAAATTCGGAGATAAGAAATATCTCGGCTTTTAACCAGACGCCGAATACATGGAACTCGCTTTACTCAAATATGATATGTACATATGCATGCGTGTATGTACTTACGTACTTACGTATAAAACTGCATGTGCATTTCTATAAAAAATTTGGTACATGCATCGAATCTATATAAATATTTCTCTAATTTGTGAAAAATAAGGGGAGTTTTTGTTGAATTTAAAAATTAGTGAACTCCTAATCGCTTCCTTTACTTTGTTGAAGGTGGATTCTCAAGGAAGCGTGAAACCTAAATACATACGTACGAAATAAATAGATAAGACAGAAGCTGTAGGTTAAGTTGCATTCAGTGTTCCATGATTTGTCCAGTTATTTCCCAACCCTCAATCTGGACGGAAGTGCTATCTAAAGAGTTCACAAACTTGAATTTCCAACTGGTACGAAGTTTTCAAATTTATCGAGTACTTTAAATTCTACAGCGATTATTACAGTAAATTTATAAATTTATTTGAAATTATAGATACACCTTATTCCAATTCCTAATTCCAATTCAATCCAATCGATTATAGTGGAATTAATTATACCTGGATCGGGCTACCAATTGTAAGTTAAATTTTGTTACTTTACCTAAAACAATGGGCGTATTTTCAGTATTTAGTATCATAAGTATGTTAAAAAATATTTCTCAAACTTGAATTTTCAACTGGTTAAAAAGTTTATAAATTTATCTATAGTTTAAATTGTGTAGTGATTAGGACAATTAATTTATTAATTTATTTGAACTTGTGTACAGATCCGAAGATACACCTGGAATACAATCCCAATTCAATCCAGCCGATTCCAATAGGATTAGTCCTACCTGGATCGGGCTACCAATTGTAAGTAACATTTTGTTAATATACATAAAAAATGGGCGTATATACAGCATTTATTTAGCATGCGTTAAGGAAAATACATGAAATCGCGAAATTTAGTCGAGGCAGAAGGCAATTTTAGAAAAACCAATTAGCTAAGTTCTCTTAAATAAAAAAGTTCCATCATGAAAGAATGAAAATATTTGCCCGTTTATGTTTGGCTTGAAATGCGTATTTCTATTTTATAGTATGAGGGACAAGATTCCGATATTTTATTAACCCTTCTGGTAAAATTTCTGAATTTTGATTTCCTCAAAAATGCTCCGGTTGAGATTCAATATTATTCTTTGATGGCGATTTGGCGACAATTTTGGTAATTTTTCGGCGGCGGCTTGGAAGGGGGCGGGTCTGCGTTTCAATGTTGAAGGAACAGGGAGTAAGATTTATCGGCAGCGGGGGCGTATAAAATGCAAAGGCGGCACTGCGGCGTTGACCTCTCTCCAAAATTACAGCGGTTTAGCTGTCAATATGCGAAGAGGAATTCAATTTTGGTTGAACATTCAGTAAAAATTAATTGATGCGAGTTTCCTCGAGATGTGAAAGATCATATTTTCAAAGAAACCAAATTATTATTGTGAATTCTAAGACACAGTCCTCTTTTTAATAAATGGCAGGAAATGTATTTTTCCAATATTGCTAACTATGCGAACTCCTCACTCATGATACCCAACAGATAAAAGGAAATTCTAATATTTCAATTTATTTTTTCAGCTAACAAGATGGTCGCCCACCATCCAACCGCCGCCTACATCTAGCTAATGTTTGAATAAACAAGGTCCCTAAAAAGGGGAAATCTTAGTGAGGGAGTGCAATCACAACTAATAAATAAAATTAGATTGGAGAATTTTTGCATCACCGCTCTCGGTTCCATTCTTACTGGATGCAGTATAAATTTTTCTTTGCACACGCATGAATTCTTAGTTTTATTGAATAAATTGAGGAAGGAATACATTTTTACTGTGTAGTGAACGAGAAGTGGGTTAAATTAACTGAGGTAGATATGTAAGATTTAATGACCAAATAATTATGAGCTACGTATTTGTTTAAAAAAATATACAAATTTCAACTTCATATATTAATTTGGCTACTCTATGCAAAATCATCGAACCTTTCGAGGGAGCAAGTGTTCTATTTAAAGGATTAATGCTTCCAGTAAAAATGGTACCGAGAGCGGTGATGCAAAAATTCTCCAATCTAATTTTATTTATTAGTTGTGATTGCACTCCCTCACTAAGATTTCCCCTTTTTAGGGACCTTGTTTATTTATAACTTTTAATTGGGTAATTAGATTGTCCATTGGATGACTGCATTGCACTACCCCTTTTCAGTAGTTTGATGCGGAATAATTTTATTAAATGCTGGGTGTTTAAAATTGAATAAATCCGTTATTTCTTAACCGATTTATATCATTTTGGTCAAAATGTCCGGCCTAGATTACTAAACACCAAAAGACCTGATCTGGAGGTGCAACACCAACAACAACAATTTCACGCAATTTACCAAGCATGTTACAGAAGCGATTAGTTGTGCTGTTTACAGTTTTGAGTGTAATTTGTTTTCAATTTATTAGTCTTGCGTCGTTGTCAATGGCAATGATTCGTAGCACGAGCAGGAATTTCTGAACTTCAAATTGGAATAACTAAGCCAATTCTTAACGGATTTTGATATATTCATACTTAAAATTTTCGGGATAAACTGCCCTACAATTCGTGGGTATCAAACTGTTGATAACGTTTGCTAGTAACTAGCAATAATTACAAATGTGTTTCTAAGGCTACATTTTTGCCCATAATTCCGGTCAAGATCACGTAATCGCTTAGTCGGATCAGATCCCATTTCTATATTATGTAACAATAATCGGTGCAAAATTTGATCAAAATCGGTTGAGAAATGACTGAGATATCGCAGATGGTCACTTTTTTGGGGTGGGTCAAATGCATACTTAGTAATTTTTTTCGTTGTTAGGTATTTGCCTCACTAAGAAAAATATGTCATAATCCTGCAGGTTTAGGTTCGGCGACAGTAAATTTTTTTCTTGACCCGAATTGGTATAAGGAACTTATTATTTCAATCACCCAATTACCACTTTGGCCTCATGAACAGGACCTGAGCCCTGCTTGAATGTTACGTCTCTATTTTTGAATGGGTAGTGGTTCAGTGGTTCCACAATTCGCTCGAGAACTTTAACAAATAATTTCTTTCACGAAATTTCACCCCTTCACTAAGGAGGGGAGCTTGCGAGGTTGATAATAACAGATCTTGATGCCCTTTGGATATGTAGTAGGGACCAATGAGTGTACTAAAACCCTGAAGTGGTTTGACTCCATGGCCACATTTGCGCCCGCCACACCCACTCAAAAATGCCCAAAAAACGCTTTTACTCCCGTTTTCACTCACTCAAATCCACGCCAAAAATCCAATTTTACTTGGATTTTGAAATTTCTTTCACCCTTATACTCCCAGATAGTTGCTTTCTTCAATACAATATTTACAAACGCGCCATATTTGTCCATCTATCATTTTTTCACCAGGGGTCACAAAAGTTTTCGAAATATGGTTTCTGAAGGAAAATTGCATGGAGATTTCAATAAAAAATTGTAAAACCTTCTAAAAAATTGTCTAGCCTGCTTAATTAACCCGGGAAATCTTATAACAGAACTTTTGCGAGTACTAGGTATAAAAAGCCCTTAATCAATTATGAATATGATAAACAATTTCCAAACTTGGCTAAGCCTTTTATGATACCGTTTCTGAATTACATTTGCTGTTAATTTATTCTGGAATTATAATTAAGATGGATATTTGTATATTGCTCCGTTTAGGTTCTGCCTTTCTTTAATTCGTTTCATATATTTATTAAAAACTGTAAATGTGGCCATGGAAGAAAGATTGAGACCTCCCGTCTTCATGGAACAGGCAGTTGTATACTGCTAAAAAAGTGGCTGCACTTTTGGGAAATTTTGCCCGAAAGTGAAGCTCAGAGGCGTACCATGTACCATGGGGAACATGAGAAATGTGCAAATGGGACTAACCAATTAAATGCAATTCATCGCACATGTTCCCATTAATAAAAGCATACCAACATAATCTTGGAAGTGTTAGAAATATGATTGTAATGTAATACATGCTGAACTATAACTTATTAATTAAATAGTTATGTTTAAAACTTTGGGCGTACTCAAGTTGGCATTGGAACTCATTTAGCAAGTTTGCAAAGCTCAGAAATATTTTTTTCTCGTGAGGGTACCCGTGAGGATATAAAAATATTACATAATTAGCTGGTCGTTTGTAGTTTTAATTTTAGTGAGATTATTTATTTATAGCATATAAACATATATTATATACATTCCTGCTAATAATTCCTGCAAATAATTACAAAACTTTCAACTAAATTAAGCATTAACTGTTGAACGTACTGAAACATTTTAGTATTAGGTATATGATATCGACGTGGTAACAAAAATTACAATCCGAATGATAACATATTGATATTAACGAATTATAACTCATTTGTAACACATTGTAACCATTTTGAATGACTTACTTATTAACGCTGCGAAAATACTGCGCAACCGTTCAGGTTGGAATTCATCTTTAAAGTAACGCGGTAATGATTTCTTCACCGCAATTTTAAAAGAGAAACTAATTTACTCGAGAATTAAATACATAGTTCTGATTGCTCACTGATTTTGTAGCACATTAGACTTTTTTACCATAATTTTTTGCAAAAACAAAATTTTTTCAACCATAGCCCGGCCTCTGGCACAGAACATTTATCAATAACGACTTTACCCTGCAAATATATCCGTGGTGAAAATAATTTTACAGTAATTTTTCTCCGATTCGTCCCACATTTGGCTCCAACTTCTCTACAAATTCTCCACCATGTTTATCGGGTACCACAGGTTGGTCAGGATATCTCAAAAATGCACCCTCTTAACATGCTCGCTCAACGAACCTCTCGACGCATACATTTTCCCACACTCTGAACAAGTAACTTCTCTACTAGAATGTGTAGCTTCGTGTCGTTTTAATGCTTTCAGAGTTTTAGCTACCTTCCCACACCCGGTAAACCCACAAGGGAATTCTTCCCCCTGACCGTGTTCCCCTTCCATGTGCTCCTTTAGCGAGGCCACTGTCAACCACGTCCTTCCACACTCCCGACACTCAAACACTTTACGAGACTCGGCATGACGCGATTCCCAATGTTTATCCAGACTGCATTTTACGGTAAATTCTGCCCCACAATCGCCACACTTGTGGGGTTTCTCCTGTAAATGGAAGCCAGAAATGTGGATTTTTAAACCGCCCGGATCCCCGCACCCTTTCCCGCAGAGCTTACAAGTAAACGGTTTCAACTTTAGGTGTACCCTGTTCTCGTGCGTGGTTAGGGAATACCGCGTGAGGAACTTCTTAGGGCACGAGGCACACTGCAAGGTAGCCCCTCCCTTGTCATGCGTCCACTCATGACTTGTTAAATTACTCTTTTGCCCACTGGCAAACCCACAGTGGGGAACCTTGCAAGAGAATGGGCGTTCTAAAGTGTGCACGCGGAGATGGTTCTCTATGCCTTGATTCCACTTGAAGAATTTGTGACAAAAGTAGCATTCTAGGCGAGCCACGTGGGTCACCTCGTGCCTGCGAAGGCGGCTCACACTACAAAAATCTAGTCTACATTTGGCAACCTTACATCTGTATCGGGTCCCATGAACGATCTTGTCATGCCGCTCCAATTTGTTCAGGGAGCCCAACATTTTACCGCATTTTGTGCAAATACACTCCTTCTGGAGGGAATGGGCAGCCTCGTGCTGTCGCAGGTAAGACCTTGTAGCAAACTTTTTTCCACAATTGGCCACCCCACAGGTAAAGCCGAGTCCTTCATGGACTAATTTCTCGTGACCTTTTAAAGTTCCCTCGTGCCTAAATATCCTCCCACATCGGGGAACTTTACAAGGATAAAGTTTTCGGTCGTTGAGACTTTTATGCGTTTCACGGTGCGAGTCGAGGGCGGTCTTGGTCCCACACTCCTTCCCACATTGGTCGCATTTAAGGGGTTTCTCCTTAAGGTGAAACTGACTCAGATGATTTTTTACTTGGGACGGAGTCCCGAAATACTTGGGACATAGGGGGCACCTGAATGGTTTGAGTTTAAGGTGGACAGACTCCTCGTGACCCTTAAGGCGAGCCCGCCTCCCAAAACGTTTTGGACAAGAGGGGCATTGAAATACTTTATAGGCGTCGGGGTCCCCGTGAAGTTTTTCATGTAGGCGAAGGCCACGCAAACTCCGGAATGATTTTCCACAATTGGGGAATCCGCAGAGGTGGGGCTGTTCCTCATTGTGGATTTTGATGTGGGTTGCTAGAGCGTTTTTGTGTTTGAAGGTTTTCCGACATATGGGGCAAGAGTAGGGTCGGAGGGAAGAGTGCGTGGTAAAATGTACGTCCAAATGTTCTTTCCTTGTAAATAATTTCCCACAGGAGGAATGTTCACAGCGGAATTTCCGTTTGATACGGCCATCATGGTTACTCTGGGTGCCAGAATCCTTCATATTTTCGCCCTATTGTTGTTCTTGGAATCTCTGTTGGACTAAAAATTATGGAATATTTATTACATGGTGTTAACCTTAATTTCAATAATGAGGGTATCCATTACGATTTCGCATCGTAGAAAAATTGCGAGAATATTTTGCAAGCTATATACGTGGATATGGGCAAGTTCACAAATCTTTTTCAAAACCAAAATTTTTCCAGAACTTGCTAGCCATACGAACTCGTAATGAATACAGTCAGTTATTGGGCAATTTTTCTACCAGATTTTGTAGGAGGTCGTGCCTTTGTGGAAATTTGGGATAATACTGGAACAAATCCTGCAAGAAAAAGTAACAAAATTTACACTCTCAAACAATTTACACATTCCATATACTTAAAACTTAAAGTGCGATCACACACTATGTAGAAGCCGGGAGTCACTTTTATTTTTAATGTAAAAATGTACGGATTATTCAAATTTTCCTAAACAGTATTAATATTGTAAATAACAAGTAAATAATTTTGCTAGTACTTTGCTACCAATTTTTTGTCGAATAGCTTTCCCGCTACATATTTTCATCCACCTCATTTATTAATTTTGCAATAAATGTTTAGTTTCAGGGGGCGGACATAATCAGGGAAACCTGACTCTAGACTTATTAATGTGACCTCTCTATACCTTGAATTAGTAAATATGTATTGATGTCCAACTTTACGAATTTGGATTTTGTTCGAAATTTATTGTGAATTAAATATGCAATTCTTCTTTGAGCTCGTCAAAACCATGGAGACCTCTTCTCCTACCTGTCCCACTCTATAGAAGTGAATGGACTTTAAGCAGGTTAAGGAAAATAGATGGAATACACTCTGGCACCAGCAAAGATAAACTGCAACCCTTGGTGACTGATAATAAGAAAAATATCCTACTGAGAATAGGAAAAGGGCGAGTGAGTACAATATTTCCAATATCGTAGTTTAATAAACTCAGGAGGAGAGTGGCCCTACTTGACCAGCTCAGATTTTGATGCCCTTTGGATTTGATTCCTGGATATATCGGTACGGAAATTTGGGTCTCGGTATGAAAGAGTTATGTTGTACTAGGAGAGTTTAGCAGGGTTTGTTGTCATGGACCCATTTTCACCCGCCACGCATACTAAATAAGTTTCTACCACAAGAATTGCGGGTTCCAGCCATCGCTAAAAATTTGAGTTTGATAATAAAACTTGAATTGGACATTGGATAGAACAAAGGAACTATCGGGAACTACATTGGTACACAAGATATGAAAGTCTGATGAAAATTGGAATTTTTGGTGGTGGTTTTGAAGTAGAGAGAGTCAGTGGGCGCAAAGGGTAACCACACAGATTCGTGCATTCCTCCATGACAACATAATATCCAAATGGCATCTAAATCTGACCTTGACAAGTAGAGGTACTCTCCGCTGTGTTCCATTCTCTTTTCAACCTTTCTCCTTGCACAAGACCGAAGACAAAAGAAATAGGCGAGGTATACTTGTATACGCTTTTAAAATGTATTATGCCACGAAGTATGGGCGTAATGGGGAAAACCAGAAAAAAGGTTTATTCCATATCTGAAAACTACAAGGGTCGGGTGGGTCCCGTATGTATGACTATTATACGGAAAAGGTTTCCCTCATTTTTAGAATTTAACCGTTCTTAAGAGTTCCAAGGACATGAGAAATTTGTTGGTTTGTCTTTATTAATGTGGCATTCAACCTGTTTGTACAAAATTCGACTGACCTCCCAAGGGTGACACAACAGGGAACAGTTGTATCAGTGTTTTTACTCTTAAATAAAGCAAAATAATTTCTTAATGTTTCACAATATCCATCAAAAAGATGGAATAATGCATAAAAATCAGCATAAACATCATTTGAGTAGAAACGGTGAAGCAATTATTCAATCTTGCTTCCATTAAGATAAGCTGCGAACGCAGCTGACCTTAATCGGTTTTGAAATTAGATATTAATACTATTAATAATGCATAAACTAACCTTCCTAACAAGTGCGTGAAGTATGAATAATTACATAAAGCATAAGAGTTATTTTCTTAAAAACTACTAAATTTATCAAATAAAAATGTTGGATAAGGATTTTCAGCTTTAATGCAACTTTTCTAGTTTAAATGCTGTGGATGATTTGGGGAAATTGGGAATTATTGTGCGGAAAAATTTTTGGTATCGGTACTCCCGGAACCTCGGTTTCGGCACGGTATTTTCCCGATATTTCCCGATACCGTCCCGTCCCGAAAATATTCAGTACCGAAATCTTTCCGTCCCGATAAAATCGGTCGGTACTATCTGTTGACCCTTCATTTCCCGTCCCGATACCTATACCACCGGGACGGTACCGGGATTTCGCGATACCGTTCGAAGCACTAGTAGATTCAATTTGGCTTGGAGCGAAAATGAAAACCCAATTACAAATAGCATGTGGTAAAACCTCTCTAATGAGTACAATAAATATAATGCTTATTTTTACATAAAATATCAATACCATTACGAGTCATGTGGTATAATCAAGTCAATTAATTCAAATATTTGACACATAATGTGTTGCAAGTGCAATAAACCACTTTTTACCGGACAGTGGGAAAAAGTGGGAAAAAGACACTTTTTTCCACCTACCAAAATCAGTGGGAAATGGGAAAAAGTGGGAAAAATGTAGTTCTTATGCAGATTACACTAGATGGCGCCTCTGCATACCGTTAGGTGGCGCTCCATTTTTCCCATTTCCCAGTGGGAAAAAGTGGGTGGTAAAAACCACTTTTTCCCACTGTCCTGGGAAAAAGTAGTTTTGGACGGGAAATATGCAACACTGGACACATTCTGCTTGTATTCTTAATTCTATTAATGCTAAAATAATTACTTCATGCAACTTATCGTAACTTAATTTTTAGAAAAATTTATTTCGTATCTAGTCGGGTATCGTGAGTTACAAAATTTGCGACGTTTTCCTTGCCTCGAAACTTTTCACTAGAGCATTGACATTAATTATTTGTTTAATAAATTAAATCGGTCTGGTTTGGAAAAAAAGGCTACAAAGGTTAATTATTGCAAATAATAACAATTTTCGGAGATTTCGTAGAATTGGGTGATGTCTGGGTAGAATAGAATCACACGTCAAAGTCAAATTTTACAAGAATGAGTTTTCTAATATGTATATAATTATACAAATTGGAATAAAATAATACAAGATATTTATCTGAGCTAATAAATAACGTGTCCCATCGTCCATATGGACCGCTTTCCGTTCTCCGGATGTGTCGACGTGCTGACGCCAATCAACCTATATCCTGTCAAAAACATAAGTTAGAATATCAATTGTATTTGTGGTTGGAATCCGAAACCAAATATACAGTTTTCCTCTTTAGATTTTAATATGTTAAGTTACCTAAAAAATCCAATATTTCAAAATATGAATCCATAATGGAGCGGACAGGTTCGTGGTTGAAGATGTCCCCGCCAAGAAATTTGAGTTCCTCGCCTGGTCCAATGATGACCGTGACGACGCTCGTCTTTTCGACCTTGCAAGTCACAAGGCTTTGGAAGTGTTGAGCTTGTATGTGATCCAAACCGTTGATCTCGACCACCCAACCACGGCCGGCTGGAGTTTGTTCGTAATCCAGGCTAAAATAATAACAGTAGAACTAGTTAAGAAGTCAGAAAGGTTAATTAAAAAGAGGCTCGCTAAATTTAGTAATCATAGTTTTACAAATTTTTAGTACTTATTTGCCGCATAAACATGGTCAAATCAAGAAAATTTTACATAATTTTCACTGCCATCATTTGTCCCCGCTCGGCTTTTCCAATTATCGCATCCGAACCTCAGTTTTACATTTTTTTTCAACGACCGCCTTTACTGGGGAGAGGTGCGATGATAAACGAAGGGAAATAGTGCCGCGCTCCCAAAAGTTTTAATCACTTTAAAGTATTAATCACTGGCAAATGATTCTGCAATTTACAAGCTTTCTAGCTTCTAAAAATAATCTAGAATTGAAGGAAGTACTTACTTGACCACGCAGAGTCGAGGCATTTCAGAAAAATAATTCGTTGGCAAAATAATACAATTTTTACATGCGTGCTTATATTTCAGGTGACTATTCCAATGAAACGTAGAGACGGTGGAAATATAGTTAACCTTCGCTCACCAAAGTTGTAGTGTGATTGAGCTTCTGGTAAGGTAACCTTCTGGTGTAGGTGAAGAAGGTGGTTGTGGCTGGAGAAAAGAGAGCCCAGATTTTAGGAACCCTTTTCTATTGTAGTATGCGCTTAAATAGGTCGGATTTGCTGGGAAGGCAAGGTGACCCTTGCATAAAAATTAGACAAAACTATACACGGGTGATGTAAGTATTTGGTATATGGCCAATTTGGTACAGAAATTTTTTACTGATAAAATTAACTTGATTGTCATTGCCGTAAATCATATTGAAAGTGATTACTAATAAATTGTATAATTAAAACGAAATACGTACTATTTTCCCGTTGCTCCACTACTTCCACACTTGTTTGGGTTTATATGTAGCTTAGCCTTGAGGTGTAACGACCCACTTGGTGGGGTGCCTCATTGTATTAATAAATTAAATTAAATTAAATTAGCGAAATTTATATAAAACACGTTTCATTAAGATTATCTTAATTAAGATTCAAGCTCTAATATAACCATTGGAGCATACTGGTACACTCACTGGTATAAAACTACACTGATAGAACCAGGAACACTACACTGGTAGAAAACTGGTAATAAATCATTACTGAGCGTAGTACATATGTGACTCTACCTGGTTGGTAATAACCATCATGACCGCTGAGTAATATAATGGTAATGAAAATCACTACGAAGGCAGTAACCAATGATTACCAAATCATTACAGCTGCGGAGTACATATATAACTCTACCGGATTTTTTTATTTTTTTAAGAGTGTACCAAACTTACGTGGGCGAGTATAAATCTCGAACCACTATCTTTAATGCGGAGATATGTCCACTCTAAAAAATTTGATATGCACTCCTCCCCGGTAAAAATGGTTTTTTGTAATTTGATACGGCCTTAATATGGATTCGTTGCGCACTAATAGACTTTTCATTAACACTCCTCTATTCAGCAGTAATGAAAGTATTACCAACCAGGCAGAGTCACATATTTACTCGGCTAAGTACTGATTTATTACCAAGTTTCCAAAGGTTGTATTAGCCATCCAAGGGCTAGGAAATCATGATTACCTGGAATAAATCATAACAACCGGAAATAAATTATAATCTATGTTCACGTCTGAATTTCTTCCCCGTTTAAAATTGCTGCTTAGACGATGAAACTTCCTGCGCTGCATTCCGTTCGTCTTTAACCACAAATCTCAACGATTATCCTGATGTAAGTCCAATTGGGCTAACCGTTTCTTTCAAGCGCAGTGCATCCTTTCTACCATCTATACGACAGCGGTCTTCCTAAATGTGTGCTTCGGATCACGGTCACCTGTCGAAGTTTTTCATGGTGCCATATTTTTCGTTGTTTATCTCTTATGTAGCATTGGGAAATGGAATTATTCACTCGACATTGCCCCGATGCAAGTTATTAATGCAATATTGGATTTCGAGAGAGATGTCATAAGTGACAAGCTACTTATTAACTCAAAGTAATTTTATAGCAAATCCTTAACGTCGTTAACAGGATCGATCTATTGCAGAATTATGTAACTAAATTTTCTCATTTTTCCTCGCTCAGGCTATAAATTTGATTCCGAGATGTAACAAATCTCATCTCTTGGAAAATTCTTGTGAACATTCTGGAATACATGACCTTGATAGGCCTAGTATAAATTTTACTAACAGACTTTAGATGCGTAATATAGTGAAAGCTTGATAACGGAATTGATACGTTTGTGACTAAGATAATTGCTAACGTGTCCAGCAAAAAGTAATTTAGTTTCAAGACTAAGTTTTTAATCCTAATTGTGCACATGCTATATATAGGATTCAACTACTTTCCCCCCAAACTTGGGGAGAAACTCATGCAGATTTTAAACATCTCATCTTCGGGAATTCCATTGTTTCAAATGCTCCTTCTGATCTATGCGCCGTGCACGTCACCCTTCATCATGTCTATGTTCCGAGACTGCAAAATAATTCCTCGATCTGGATATGGGATAAGATTCGTTGTCGAAAAATGTATTCAAGCCTTCGAAGTTTGGATGACCGTCCAGCTGATGTACGCTATTTGCGTTTGATTATCTACGTCCTATTCGTGGGAATTGTCACAATTGTCACCTACATCAAATTGTTGCAAAGGTGAGAAGTAGAATACAATGTAAATTATGGTTTGTGAATTAGAACGAGGTCAGATTTTCCTTGTTTTTTACCAAGAGGCTAAGTATTGCCCGCATAGTAATTACAAATCTCAACCAAGAAACCTTTCAGCAATCACTTCTTAACCCCTACGTTCCTTCAAAATTCCCGGCATAATGGATACAATTTTCTAAGCTGACCCCAGAATTACCATGTGGAAATATCCGCCTAAGTTTCGTAGATATATTAGAAACCTCACGCGATTTGGGTGCATGATTTATAAGTATTTGACCACCTTCAGGAAAATGGACCAAATTCGAACCAGCCGTGACAAGGACACCTGCCTTCTTCTGTACAGTTGAATCCAAATCTTTTAGAAATCAATGAATGCGTACACATCGGATAAGATCCTTCCTGCTACGCTCATCTGTGCCCCATTGATTCAAATCATTGGACAGTTTGTATGCAAAAATCTGCACGATAGCATTTTTATGCCTGGATTCTTAGTATTTCCCTTGATGGTATGATAGTTCATACAGCTCTATTCAATGTTCTCATGGTTACATTTGCATCTTTGATATTCAGCTCGTCGCAAAAGACGTTGACATCGTTAGGTAAGAAATCGATGGAACGAGTGAATTAGAGGGGGTTGACGAAGAGGCAATTACGTTCTTGTTCTATGCTGAAGATCAAGTTCGGATCAAATTTCATCGATCGTGGGACTCCGCTGGTTATACAAACATTCTGTATTAATCAAACCGTGTCCCTCACTTTAATCAAGGGAGGGAAAGCCTCCGGAAAGCGAGTTTTATAATTTATGTATTCATCATGGCCGGAACAATAGCAAAATTAATATCTAGTTTGATTGTACTAGTTGACGTAAGTACAGGTAGTGTGGGTCGATTGCAGTATGAAATATTAGCCACAAATTGGAAATTGTGGATGTCATTATATAGTTATCAGTTTAAAAATGCTTGTACAAAGGTTCGGTTAAAATTTTTTGTTTAAAAATCTACATGGTGAATACTAAGCAGCATTTTGTAAGAATGTCATGCAAATCTAATTTTAGTGATAAGGTTGACCGAAATTGTTAAATCAGCAAAATTTGTTGTCAAAATGTAACTTTTACAAATAATTGTTAAATATTATGGTAAATTTGCATTAAGTAACTTATTCTAATTATTTTGAATGATCTTATCATAGATGCATACATGATTTCCAAAGTGATTGATTATAACGTTTATTATACATATTGATTTACATAATGTGTAATATTCCGATTGTAATAAGCATAGTTCTGTTTATAATAGATTGTAAAACTTGATTTTAAAGTGCAGTTCGAATATTGTGATCTAAATAGTCGTCAACCAGTGATTCCTTTAATAACTATGTACACCGTATGTATGTAGAAAAGTTATGCTGAACTCGTCTGCAGAAAACAATTTGCAGAATCCTGCAGAAACATGCACGAAACTTTATGAAGAGAAAAGTCATAGCAATTATACTGAGGATATAGAATAATTATGGAATTAAATTAAAGAAATTACGCTGAGCGGTAACAAATAAATATATGAATACAGCCTGCAATGGCTTCTAAAAAAGGCGAAATAAGTTATCCAATTCAATCAATCATTACTGACATTGTTACAGTGATGACTTGTCATATCTATAGGTAGATATTTATGTATGCAATTTAGCCGTCCGTAATGTTGCCACTCGCAAAATATATTTAGTATTTTCAGATCTTTTAAATTTATAAAATATTTCTCCATCTATTTCACCGTGTTCACGGCAACAATTTCATTGTCGAAAGCGTGACCAATAAGAAAACTAATTGTTGTTTTCGTAATTATCATCCAGGTCGTCCGTTTGTTCATCAACTAGTTCGTCTGTTTTGATAATTGGATTCCAAAAATCAAATTGTGATTCGTGCATGGTTCTGGTTGACATGGTTATGCTTAACCATACAGCTGAAAACCAATTAATTCTATTCAAACTTCAAAATATTTCGAGAAATAACTTGCATGCCGTGTTTTTGAATGAAATGAAAGTCGCCTTCAGCCGATTCATGCTAACTTTACAGCCAACAAAATGATGTATTTATGTAAAGCGGGGTACGTTTCAGTGAGTGAAAAACTTTAGTGCGAGAAACATGGGAAACTGAGATGGTAGAGAGACAAGGCAGGACTGCTCAGAGAGGAAGTCGTCATGTCATGGTCAGGGTGTCGGTTTTTATGAAAAACGCCAGCAATTTTCATATGAAAAATAATAACAATTAAATTAAAGAACGTAAAGCCAGTTTATTTGTGATGAGAGAGTTTGGTGGTGCATACGAACAAACTGTTAAAAGAATTTTAAGAATGAAAATAAAAATTTGAGAACTTAATGGAATGCACGAACTTATTGTCACACGCTCGATGGCGATAGCTTTAGAATTTTTGACCAAACATGTAAAAATCGGAATCTGTTAACGCGTTTCCGTATGGGTGAATACCTACCACGGAAACCACGATTAAGGCTGGTTCAGATGAGTCTAGGTATCCTACGAATTTTCATTTCCACCATTTTTAACGAATAATTCCCACCCTTCCAATCCTCCCAGGTGACTCCAACCCCAGTGGCTTCCATGCTGCTGGAATCTTGATAAACGGAGTTCAGGAAGGCCTAGGAATCGCCAAAACAGGTTCGCAAATTTATTTGATACAATTATAATTCTAGTGCTCCCCAAAAAGAACGACAAATTGCGTACATTCATAGCTCAATCAGATCCCTTCATTCTCGGATTCAACACAGAAAAATTCATCTGGATGAACTAGCATTATATCCATTTTTACGTGTGTGACTGCTAGGTTCACGAATTTGCCACGGTCAAGAGGACAATTGTACCATAGAACTCTCCACGATTATAAGAGAATTCCTTTAAGTAGTCTATCGCATCGGGGTCTGTACGAATTTATCCACAATTGGAACTTTTTGGGGTGGGCGGTCATATTCTCTACAATGTTGTTCGATCAACCATAATTCGCGATCTAACCCCTACCTGCCGTTCCCCAGTATCCGCCCACCGTCAAGATGTAATTATCTTGTGCACTGGCGACTTTGAACATGTCATACACCGAATACTTCTTGTCCCCATCCCAGTCCTCGAGATCCACTCGTAACTGCGTATATCCTTCCACCCCGAGGAAAAACATTGTCCCTAAACCTGTCAGGATTTAGGTCAAGGTTAAATGTTGCAGGAAATTGAAGTTGAAATATTTAAGGGTTTAACCAAGCCAAAAATCCTCATCGAAAGTGCCGAATCCGTTTGCATAGAGTTTCCAAATCCTCTCGAAATTGGTTCTGTCCTCTCCTAGTGGGATTTGAGTACCTCTTCGCTGAATCACGACCCAATCCCTGTCACAGATGAGCTACAAAGGTACGTAGTAGCATAAACATTTATGTATGCATATAAATTTTTACGTGATGAACATATTCAAATTTCAAATTTGGAAAATATGTCAGGTTTAAAATTCATAAGTTACTTTTGTCATTTTACTACGAAGTTTCAAGTTGTCAATGTCGGGATCATACGCACATTTGGTGTACCTTCTGGTCGGGACTGGTTCAACCTGGGTGAAATATCCAAGTCAGAAATGGAAGACTTTTCTACAAAAAATACTGACAAGGTCGTACAAAAGTCGTTAGGATTTCTACTTCTTATGTGAACAATTCTACATCACGGTAATACATTTTTAAGAAGTTGTACAGAAAATTTAGAATAAAAAATCCGGTGGAATTATTGATTTGGTTGGAGCAATTAATGTTTTCGAAAATTAATTAGTAAAATAACCAAAATTCTAGAAAAGTTCATACTTTAGGTTTGCTGGACTCAGACTCTGCCAAGTGGGCGCTAATGTTTTGAGACATACTTGAACTTGTTGGTCTGATTTCTCCCAGAACAGCGGCCTGAGCTACTTTAAGCTCCACTGCAGCTTTGCATGTCTCGTTTAACGTAGACTGCGAAACATGGAAAAATTACAGCGTCAGTCTAACAAATTTTTGTAAGTTTTATGAGCTGTATTACATCATTAGTTGTTCCTAAACCTACCAGTCTAGCTTGCAAAGCGGCAAAATCATCCTTCGTGGGAATGTTTGATAACTGGGTGACCAACTTTCAAAATGGAGTTTTAGTTAAATTCGAAATCGAATAATTCAGGTAAACATGTTTACTCACGCGTTCCAATTGATGACTAATGTTGTAACGAAGCGTTTCTTCAATGTTGGGATTTTCGGTGATTGTACCCTCAACCTGATGTAATAAATATTTTAGAAAACGGTTACCTTCAGTAAAAAAAAACATCTTGAGTGATTTGTCATGAAATCAATTTTAAAAAAATAAGTCACAAAATCAAATATATAATGTGAATAATTTTAAATATTTAAAACATTTAAATTGTATACCACTTACTATCTAAAACTTCCTTTAGTCTTAAATAAAAATTGTACCATTGTACGAATGACTTACCAAGGGACAAAACTGTACCCATGCTGCTAGAAATGTTGAAAATAAGAAAAAATAGGAAACAAGCATCATGCTTCTCTAAATATGTGGATACTGACTGGCTACCCGAATAAGTAATCCAGGAGATTTATACTACTTGGCAATATGTACATACATGGTTGGAGATACATTAAAATTGATTTGCAATAATTGTTGTCGGGTACACATATGTATGTATGTAGTAAAATATGTACATAGTTTTTGTACTGCTGGAAAGCTATTGTCAAATCCCATGTTCTTATGTCTCTTGAGTATTTAAGTCCATGGTTGTAATAAGTATGAGTATGTATGTTAATGTTTTCGAGTTTTCTCAGAAAGTAATTTTTTGATAATTTTTATTTACATTGATAAGGTTTGGTCAAAGTGTTAGGTAATCGATAAGCTAAAAACATTTTGTCTCCAAACGTCTAATTTAAAATCACAACTATTTTAAAAGTTGTATCTCGTTTTCCCATAAGGTTAACATTGTAGGACTTTTCCATTCAAACTCTTCTAGCGGTCAGAAACTCAAGTTCCAAAACGTGTATTAAATATTTATAAGTTGTCCATTAGTTGTGGAATAATCTACAAGTAGGGCTAACGATCCTAAACTCTCGTTTTCCCACTAGAAAAGGTCAAAGTTCAGCTTTTTTAAATAAGGATTACGTTAGGGTGAGGCGAGTTGAGACGAGCGCCAGAAGCGAGAGAAAAGGGAGCGAGATAAAGAAAAACGTTAGTCACTATTACTTTTTTGTTCGTGTGAGTCGTGTGAATGAAGAGCAACAGAGTAGTCATACATTAAATTGTTTCTAGTTCTGTTTATTGAGTTAATTTGTGAAATTGAATATTTGTGTTTATATATTCATTAAAGAAAACAAAGTTTCTAAAGTAAAATTGCCTTGTTTTAGGATTTCAAGCAATTTATTTAAAGTAAACTTTTGCACAAAAATCATCGCTTATCCTCCACCTCATCAGAAAACTGCTACCGGTAATATTCAGGAGAAGTCTTACTTTCGGGTAGAGAGAAAAGATTTCCCAGTGAGAAAGGTGCGCTGATCTCACATTTTGGTGACCTCGACGTGATCGGGGCAGTTTTGACCGTGTGCGGAGGAGGAAGTGGCGAATCGTGAACGTGACGTGGGAGTTTGGAAAGTCTTGCCTCTTTGAGGACCCCACCCTGAGTATTCGGGGTGTTACCAGGTGATACATTTCCAACTTTTTTCTTAACCAAGTATCGGGGAGAGTGGGCGAACGTGTCGACGACCTACCAAGCCCGTGAGGAAGGAAGAAAGGAACCAGGAGTGACCTCAATCTACATATTGAATTGCCTCTTTGAGGGCCCTATCCTGAGCATTCAGGAGTAGATGAGGTGTAGATCGTCCAGTTGAAAATCTGATTCGATCAATTTTCTAATTACTTTGTTTTTGTTTGGGTCTGTTGTTCCTGAGATATTGCCATGGACCTCGAGCGGTATAAGAAGGCGAGGACACCGTTAAGAGCAATGATCACAAAGGCAGTCGACAAAATTGAAGAAGAAGCAGTGTCTGATACACCAGGAATGAAAACCCTCCATGTCCTACTAAAACGACTTGAGCAGTATTCGACGGATATGGATGACCTGGATCAGAAAATTTTGGGAAAGCTATTGGATATCGGCGTTTCCGAAGAGGACTATGAAGCAGAAATGATGGATATTGCAAAATATCGAGATAAGATAAGCGGGGCAAGATGGAGGATCGACACCATTGGTACCCAGCCACATAGTGATCGCAGTCCAACGGGAAGTTATGATTCAGTTTTCTCAGCCGACAGCAGCAAGAAAAAATGTTTCAAATTACCGAAGATTCAAATTCCAAAGTTTGATGGGGATTTGAGAAGTTGGTTGGGGTGGTGGAGTCAATTCGAGAAAATCGACCAGGATGAGGATCTGCATGATAGTGACAAGTTTCAATACCTCATCCAAGCCACAGAAGCAAAATCTGAAGCCCGATCAATAATAAGTGCATTTCCTCCAACCGGAGAAAATTATTCAGCCGCCATCGATTCCCTAAAGAAAAGATATGGAAGAGAGGGGCTACAACTCCAAGTGTATTTAAGGGAGTTATTGAGTTTGGTGATTGTGAACGTGACCTCGAAGGAGAAAATTTCATTGGACACACTCTACTTGAAACTTCGCTCGCACCTTAGAGCTCTGAAGACGCTGGATTTAAGCAATGCCGAACCCGATTTGTATTTTTATCCACTAGTGGAGTCAAGTCTCCCAGCGGAAGTTTTGAGAGCTTGGCTTAGGAGTCCAGCGGTCGTTCAGCAAGATGGGAAACCCAGCAGCAAATTAGAAGATCTCATGTCCTTTCTGGAGAAAGAAGTCGAGGGTGAGCAACAAATCAGTTTGGCTCAGTCTGGATTCCTAGGAATGAGAAAAAGTGAAGGTTCCCGAGCAGATCAGGACCACAAGAAGAGTAGAGCAAGTCAAGAAAGTGGTCATCAAGTCACCGCAGCAGCACTATACGCAAGTGAAGCGAAAAACAAGTGTATTTTTTGTGACAAGTCTAATCATCCGAGCCAATCCTGCTTTGGGCTTAAGAGGATGACAATTGAAGAGAAAAATGAGAGGATGAAGGCTGCTCAAGTTTGTTCTAAGTGTCTGAAGAAGGGGCATCGTTCAAAAGAGTGTAAATCGAGTGTAAAGTTCACAACATGTGGACGATCTCACCATACTTCCCCATGTTACGGAAAAAAGGAAGATCAGTCTGTCCAAGAGTTAGCCGCTGATGTACAAACTCTGACGACTTCCCACACCTCCGCATTGTCCAAGAAGACAATGAGCGAAGAGGATAAGATTGTGTTGCGAGGGACCTTACTCGTGAAAGTTTTTGGCCCCAACAACAAAATGCAAAGGGCGAGAGTTCTCATCGACCCTGGAAGTGATGCAAGCTATATTCGTCAAGATTTAGCGAATACCCTCAAGTTGAAACCAAGTGGAAAGCGAATGTTCCACACGGAAGTCTTTGGAGGTAGAATGGAAGTGTGTGAGAGAAATGAGTATTTGGTGAAAGTGGGAGGCCTCAGTGGGGGCAGTGAAACTCTGAATATGTTCTCTGAAGTGAAAATTTGTGGTGAGTGTGGGCCAGTGCCTCAGGGACCCTGGATCCAAAAATTAATGAAGATGAAAGTGTACCTCAGTGATACGTACGATTCTGGGGAAATTGATATCCTCATCGGGGCAGATCACTTGGGGAGTATCCAGACCGGACGGATGATCAAGTTAGAAGGTTTGACCGCAACGGAAACCACCGTCGGCTGGTATTTGAACGGGAAAGTGTCAGTGGCGAAGAGCCAAAATCTGGCAGCAAAGTCCATCGTGTTGGCTACCAAAGCCAAGGACATCACCGCATTGTGGGAGCTCGACGCCTTGGGAATAACAGAAAGCCCGGAGACGACGAGTCAAGTTGAGCAAGATGCCAGGGTGAAGGCAGAATTTCAAAAAGGACTGACGGGTGGGAATGACGGAAGATATATCGTCAAGTTGCCCTGGGTGAGCGAGGTGTTACCCCAACCTACTAATCGTGCAGTCGCGGAGAAACGCCTTGTAGGACCCACCACTAAATTAATTTCGAAAAATGAGTTTGAGAATTACGACAGCATTTTCCGGGCGTGGGAGGCTGAGGGGATTATTGAAGAAGTGACCGGGCAAGATGAAAATTCTGGCGGACATTACCTTCCCCACCGACCTGTATTTAAGCCCGAAAGTTTGACCACACCGGTCCGACCTGTGTCTGATGCGTCCTGCAAGATTGGAAAGCATCCGTCCCTTAATCAGTGCTTGGAGAAAGGGCCGAATATGGTAGGAAATCGTGTCCGAAATATCCTCCAACTAACCAAGAAAGAAGACTGGAGACACGTTCCGGGTAAGATGAATCCGGCAGATCTCCCGTCAAGAGGGTGCTCCCCTCAGGAGCTACTGGAGTCCAAATGGTGGGAGGGACCAAGTTGGTTGAGGTTACCAGAGGAGGAATGGCCCCATGTAGTTCAAGATGTTCATGAAGAGGAAGTCACTGCAGAAAAGCGGAAGAACGCATCATACGCGGTGTCCTCGAACAAGCCTCATGTGTGGGAGCCAAGGTTTACCTCGTACCAAAAGAACGTGAGGATCACTGCCTACGCCATCAGAATTTTGCGAGGAGTGAAATTTCCAGAAATCCGGAGTGTCATAAAGTTACCGGAATTACGAGAAGCTGAGTTATACCTGTGGAATTTGTTACAAAAACGGTATTTCTCAGACCCCAAGAAGATTCAAGTTCGCGTTGAGCGGAGTGAGGACGGACTTCTGCGAGTCAAGAGCAAGTTAGAATACAAAGATGACTTGAAAGCGTTCCGGAACCCGATCCTGATCCCCAACGAGTGTCCTTTAGTGTATGAGCTAATTCTTGAAGTTCATCGGGCATTTGGTCATGGCGGAATTCAATTTACTTTGACCAAGCTTCGAGAAAAATATTGGATTCCACAGAGCAGAAGAACCGTGACCAAGGCTTTGAGGAAGTGCATAACCTGCCGAAAACAGGACGCCAAGCCACTTCAAGTGGACCCCGTCGCATTACCAGAGAAGAGGGTAACTCCGGGGGAAGTGTTCACAACGACCGGGGTGGATTTGGCTGGTCCACTGTTCTTGAAAGACAAGACCAAAGTGTGGGTGGTCTTATATACGTGTGCCGTGTACCGATGCGTGACATTGGATTTGGTGGATTCGTTGGATTCCGAAAGCTTCATCCGTTCCCTTCAGCGTTTTGTGATGACTCATGGGAGACCCGAAACCATTTATTCAGACAACGGGACCAATTTTGTGGGTGCCCAGAATCTGTTTAATAAATTGGATTGGGCAAAGATCGAGACGAAAATGCGGGCGAAGCAAATCCAGTGGATTTTCAATCCGGCTACTGCTGCATGGTGGGGTGGCTGGTGGGAACGACTTGTGGGGTCCATGAAGGGGTTACTGAGAAGAATGTTGGGAAAAGCAGCATTGACCAGAGATGAGTTGGTGACTTGCCTGTCTGTGGCAGCCGCTACCATTAATGAGAGACCACTAACCGTGACTACAGAAGACGAAGAAGACCTGATCCCGTTGACTCCATCAATGTTCTTGAAAGGAACGAAAATGGCGAGATTTCCAGAAGTGGAACATGTGAGTGGGAAAGATCTGCAACTACGTTTTAAATACGTGAGAAAGTTGCAAGTAGATCTCCAAAACCGATTCAGGAAAGAATATTTGGGTCAGCTCGTTCAAAAGCGGGGTGAGAAGAAAACCAAAGACCCTCAAGTGGGTGACATTGTCCTAGTGGGCGCCGATAACAAGAAGAGGTTCGAGTGGCCCCTGGGAAGAATATTGAAGTTGAATCCAGGGAAGGACGGAAAGTACCGCTCGGCCGTGGTCAAGACAGGAAGAAGAGTCCTCAGCCGTCCACTTCAGCGTCTCTACCCTTTAGAAATATCAACCGGAAACGAGCTATCGAAACCGGAAAAACAAGAAAGTTGTGAAAACCAAGACGAGGTGATCGGTGACGAAGATCCCGAAGTCGACGACATTGATGACACCAAGATTGGAGACGTAGTTCCTGAAGTTGTAACGAAATCAGGGCGTGAAGTGAAGAAACCACAGCGATACGTTGCATGGTTTAAAAAGTGAACAGTGTTAATGTTTCGGGGTATTATTATTCAGTAGTGTTCTTTTCTTTATCATATTGTGGATGAAGAAAAGAAGTGGGAGAATGTCAAATCCCATGTTCTTATGTCTCTTGAGTATTTAAGTCCATGGTTGTAATAAGTATGAGTATGTATGTTAATGTTTTCGAGTTTTCTCAGAAAGTAATTTTTTGATAATTTTTATTTACATTGATAAGGTTTGGTCAAAGTGTTAGGTAATCGATAAGCTAAAAACATTTTGTCTCCAAACGTCTAATTTAAAATCACAACTATTTTAAAAGTTGTATCTCGTTTTCCCATAAGGTTAACATTGTAGGACTTTTCCATTCAAACTCTTCTAGCGGTCAGAAACTCAAGTTCCAAAACGTGTATTAAATATTTATAAGTTGTCCATTAGTTGTGGAATAATCTACAAGTAGGGCTAACGATCCTAAACTCTCGTTTTCCCACTAGAAAAGGTCAAAGTTCAGCTTTTTTAAATAAGGATTACGTTAGGGTGAGGCGAGTTGAGACGAGCGCCAGAAGCGAGAGAAAAGGGAGCGAGATAAAGAAAAACGTTAGTCACTATTACTTTTTTGTTCGTGTGAGTCGTGTGAATGAAGAGCAACAGAGTAGTCATACATTAAATTGTTTCTAGTTCTGTTTATTGAGTTAATTTGTGAAATTGAATATTTGTGTTTATATATTCATTAAAGAAAACAAAGTTTCTAAAGTAAAATTGCCTTGTTTTAGGATTTCAAGCAATTTATTTAAAGTAAACTTTTGCACAAAAATCATCGCTTATCCTCCACCTCATCAGAAAACTGCTACCGGTAATATTCAGGAGAAGTCTTACTTTCGGGTAGAGAGAAAAGATTTCCCAGTGAGAAAGGTGCGCTGATCTCACAGCTATGGTGCAGCATACATAACATGAAATTTCTTCATATAGTTAAAAAGAGTTGGCCAAAGTAAAGGGGGCTATGTCAATCAAAAACCACTTTTTTAACACGGTCTCCTAAAAACTGGACGATGAAATCAGAAGAAATATGAGTTGAATGTTTAACAATATGTACAGACTCACGATTAAGTCCGTGGCAAGAAAGATTTGCAAATTTGCTGGGTCGTGACTGATTTAATAAGATTGAGGGAATCAATGCTTTCTTGGAATCTTATTTCCCACAGTTTGACGGATTTTGTTTAGAGGAGAGAAGTATGAACATTCTTGACAAACAAGTGTGTCTGCGCATTCTGATAATTATTGTATTGATTATGGAGTTACATAAATGTTGCAATCCACAGCATGTGTGTACATATGTCTGTAAACCAGTTTTACGACGGTGATAATAATATGTAATAGTTGTGATTGAATGTGATTTATTAATCATAGTTTGTGATTTTAAACGATGATGTTAATTTTATGATTTATTGTGAGTTTAGTAATCGCCATCTAGTTGCGCGTATTTATAAAATCATATGAGTCACTTTAAATCACACCGTGATAAGTTCAGGAAGACGGATGTATTCACAGTTTTTATACACGGTTGTAGTGACAAGATTTGCGAAATTCATTATTGCATACGTTGCTCGTCCATATTACGCATATGTAAGTTGTAAATATTTCTCCGCAATCGAAAGTAGATTTCGAGTCCAAAAATCATTTCGGTACGGAATCATGCAGTATGAATGAAAACATGAAGTACGACTATGTTCATATAACTTGTTTAATATGCATGAATAATTTCTCTACTTCGATAAAATATTTTAATAATAATCACGCAGCCACTCATGGATTTGTAATGAAGAAAATAATTAATTCCATCAAAATTAATTCCCCAAATCAAGTCAAAACGCATTTATTTCATTATTTCATTTATGTAGCACTTCATTATATCAACTCTGATTCATCTATGGTGCTTATCTAACCTATTTAATATACCCCGATAATATAAATACTTTATACTTACATATACATGGTATTATTTATTTATCAAAAAATATTGACCACGCAGTTTTTCACAGATTTGGAAAATTTTATATAAAAGAGCAAAAATTTCCACTCCGTTGATATCCACAGGCTCAACCACAGACTATGTACAATCCAAAGACAGAATCCACTTCCATAAATTTGCCATGATCATGCAAACCATCATATTCTACGGAGCCGTTATCTTCGTGTTCAGTCATTATCGTATTTAAATCTCAGTTACTCTTATTTCTCAGCAATTAAATTAAATTCCATTTGTCTTAAAGAATCGCTAGCCTTTTTGCACATGAAGATGCTGGTAAAGTCTTGAACAATTCAATTTTATCGGCTGGGCAACCCTCGAAGTTATCCCTGTTAGGCTAGTTGATAACGACGTTAAATAATAATAAAATAAATAAAATAAGTATCAAAAACATCTGTAAAAAATTCACCTATTAATTTATCGCAAATATTCACTAATACATAAATCGTCAACAGGTTGTGAAATGTTATTGTAACTAATGAAATACACTGTACATAATGCACCATGATACATAATGTAAAATTAAGAAATATTCAGTGGAAATAATATGATGGCCAGAATTTGAATATTTTAAATTTAGTTTGTAATTTAAGAACTGATTCGTGAATGAGGAAGTTCCAGAATGAAGTTATTCCAAATCCCCACGCAGTGGCATGCTCTCGATTATTGTGCATCAAATTTAAGTATGTATGTAATCTTGTGATTGAAGTCATAAAACAATGCAACTTTAAGTCATGGATTATTTGTCTGTTAGTCTTGTTTGCTAAAAGTTTCACGCCTTTAAGAAAATGTATATTTTAACTTTAAATACACACTGAAATTGTTACGATACCAATCCAATAGTTTATGGGTGATATTCTCCCTTGATGCATGTATATGTACATAACACGATAACGAGCACGATAACGAATAGTATGTACAATAATGGTTGCGACGAGAAATATTTGCACAACCTAATTATCCATTGGCTACTGGGTTATGATTTAGCTTGTAAGTAAGCTAACACATATCACCTTTGTACTAGTGCTCCGCACGAATCCGGATTTAGTCGGAATCGGATTCGCTCGAATCCGGATTCGAAGGGATTCGACTCCCAAAATGCCGGACTCGGACTCGGATTCGAGGTAGGCGAATCCGGGAAATCCGGGAGTCGGATTCGGATTCGGATTCGGGATTCGAATCCAGAGTCGATTCCGGATTCGGACTCGTGCGGAGCACTACTTTGTACACATGTTTCTTTGTACAAACATACGTAAATATGTATGTAATATATCACAGCAACAACACCGGATACTATTCCATTTAATAATTTGTATATCAAAGTGGGTGGAAAAATCTCATACTACTAATTGTATTTATTTATGCATGTACTTCCGTAAAATGTTTGTGTCACCAAAGTAAAACTGTCCCATCATATAAATTAACCTGTTTTAATTATATTTATGACACAGCTTTAATACAAATAATACTAAAATGAGACAAATAAAGGAATTTTGTCAATTTAGATTTCTAGGAATAAAACACCTGCCACATTAATAACATAGATGGGGTATATAAAGGGTGACGGGGGGTTTAAATTTATCATAAAACCATCACATTCAATCAGCAGTCCAACTACGAAGTTGGTCACTTTTCACAGTTTTACTTTTACGTTTCTTAAATCCCACCCCCATGAAGTCCTTTCTCATCCTGGCTGCTACCATTGCAGTCGCCATGTCCGGAACAGTCGACCCCTCCCTTTATTTTGAAATTCGGACAGGCTCGACTTTCTCAGCAATTCTCGAACTTCCCCAGGTCATGGAGCAAATTGAAGCTAATCCATCGCTTTCCTCTCTCTCTGGGGACGCTAAAGCTATTTCCCTTGTCGCCGCGTTGAAAGGTCTCACGTCTGCTACCCAGTCTCCCTTCTTAACCGTCGCGTCATCACTCGGCTTAGAAACTAGGGCATTCTGGGGATCCAACGTCATCCACGTCAAGGGACTCAACTCCCAAACATTAGCTGTGTTGGCCGCCATCCCAGGAGAATTTACTATCCGGAAGCCCGCCGTCGTCCAAATAATGCCATCCCTGCACGTCCATAAATATAACAACCTTAACAAAACCGTTCAATGGGGTGTCGACAAAATCAGAGCCACTGAAGTGTGGAACCTTACACAAGGAGAGGGCGTTGTTGTTGCTGTCATCGATACCGGGGTAAATGTTGGTCACGTGGCCCTTACCGAGGCATACGCTGGTGCATGGAAGGATCCGTACTACGACACGTTGGAACCAACGGACATTCACGGACACGGAACACATTGTACTGGTACCATCCTCGGACGTGAGAATGGCGTTGGTGTTGCTCCCGCTGCAAAATGGATTGCCTGCCGTGGTCTTAACCACCTTGGATGGGGATATGAATATCAGCTTCTCACCTGCGCCGAGTGGGTTCTTACCGCAAACCCAACACCACACATTGTCTCCAACTCTTGGGGCGGTGGATCTGGCGAGACTTGGTATAATGCTGCCATCTCTGCTTGGCGGGCGGCCGGAATTATCCCAGTTTTCGCGATTGGAAACAATGGACCGTTGTGTAACACGGTTATTTCTCCAGGCGATCAGCCTAACCTTATCTCTGTTGGCGCCACGACTGAAACCGACGGCCTGGCCTGGTTTTCTTCTCGAGGACCAAACGCACAGGGGGAGCTGAAACCAGACGTCTCTGCACCAGGGGAAGACATCCTCTCGTGCGGAACTGGACGTAACGATTACGTCTACCTTTCTGGAACTTCAATGGCTTGTGACGTTGTATATTTTCTGGGTTGACAAATTTCTGAAATTGTGAATAACAGGCTTGCCCTCACACGGCGGGAGCTATTGCACTTCTGCTGTCCGCCAACCAAAAGTTGGGGATTTGACGAGGTTTATGACGCTCTTACAAGCAACGCTGCCCAGCCCCTGTTGTCCAATTCTGACAGGGATTGTGGACTTCCAGGAAATGGAGATTTCCCGAATCATGGTTTCGGTATAAAATATTTCATGCATTATTATTCCAATTTATTCCATATAATTGCAAAATTAAGGAAACTTATTGTATTCTTAAAACTCCAGGTCACGGACGCATCGATGTGGTTGCTGCTCTTGGACTTTAAATAAGTGCAGTCATCAAATCTATTTAATTAAACAAAATTATGTTCAAATTAGATTAATCCGATATGTAAAGATAAAAAATGGCACTCGAGTTTGTCTGTCATTATTTCGATAAGCACAAACTAATGTATCTATTTTTGTCTAATAAATGAAAGTGATTCAAAATTAGTGAACCAAGTTCCACTCCAAGTTTTTTTTTAAATAAATTTTGAATAGTGCGAATCTTAAGTTTATTTAAGTATATTGTATTATTTGCTGATATATTGCAACTGTCCAACCTCTTCAGTTTTATGGTAATACATAAAAACCATGAAGTTAGCGACTCTTTGTAATTATAATCGACCAAGCCAAAAAATCTCCTTTTTGATAAGCATTATATTTTCCTTAATAAAATATTTTTTAATGATTACAGAACTTATCAGAATTCAATAGGCTCAGTAAAACAAGTTGCATGCTTTTAGTAAGAGGTGAAACCCCTTTATAAGATCGTTATATCCGTCCGTCCGTCTGTCCGTCTATTCGTGCCCTAACTTTCGAACGGATCAACTTTTTCAAATTCTGTTGACGCCATTCGACATATAATTTTTATTGGAATGACGAGTTCTTTAACTGACCTCGTAGGTCAAACGGTCTTGGCGCCACGGTCATGAGGCATACGGTCAAAAATGTCGAAATTTTAGTTTTGACCGATTTAGACTTTATTTTGGGCGGGAATTTCAAAAATCACTATTCTGACCTACGATGACCGTGTGGACGAGGTCAAAATTCAAAACTTTCGTTTAACCCTTAAAAGAGTTAAAACTCTAACTGCTAAACTTTAAAACTCTAACACTTACAACTTGAAAGCTTCAGCAGTTAAAACTTTTAAACGTTAACGACGTGCACGTGGATACAGCACTTGGTTTCACCCCTTAGTTACATGCGTTTGTAACGGTTTATTAAATATGTATGTATGAACATCATTTATGAACACATGGTTATTTGGTTGGATTATTAATTTTCTGCCAAGTTTTTCGGTCGATTACAGCTTTATTGGACCCGGAGGGCCTGTATGGGCAATGTGTGTAAATTGTCATCACAACCGACAACGTTACCAAGCTTCCAACAAGAAAGGTGTGTTTGAAAGTATGATACATTAAATAAAAATGCGAAAATCGAACATAGTCAAGATTTTGAATAAAATGAAATAATGGCTATAAACTTTGTGCTAATTTGACACAGACAAATAAGTATATAAAATGGATGAAAAAAAGATGCCAAATTTCCTAATTTTTTGTATAATTTTAATTTTAACTTTAGTCATGTTCCAAATTTCGTGCATAATTGAACTATTTTCTTACGCCGTTAATATGTATGCATCATTAAATTATATTGATGTATAGATACATATGAATTGAGCACATCATTCCTGCGCATTGTCAGTCACATTTTATTCACGGTGTATGTTTTGTAAAATACATTAACAAGATATGAAGTTATATGTATGTTTTGAGTTATATTAGTCTGAATTTTACATATCATTGCACATTATTTATATTCATCAAATAATAAGCACAGGATTTGTATTGATAAAATTTCGTGACATAGTTGCCTGACATACATAGTTACGAATCGTAACTATGTGAAACATAGATAATACAGAAACACTCCAAACTCACGCAGGGCAAGTGCAAATATCGGAAGACTGCATGTGAGTCATACAATGTGACTCATACCGTTCAATGCAACTTAGGTAATACAGATTACAAGGCTTTTGTTGAAAAGTAAATCTCTGCGAGCACACATACATCATTTTTTATACTTAAAATAAAAAAATTTGTAACGTAGTGACACGATTTATTTTCAATTTACTCGTTATGCAAGAGTTAAATGAAGCAAATCAAGTTGTGCAACAACCCATTTTAAAAATTCCAGGTAAGTATATATATCACAATATGTATTATTTCCCTACTCTTTGATTCCTGTAAAAAGACAAGTACCTGCTTTATTTTAGAATCAATATTTGGAAGCAAAGGAACCAAGGGAGAATGGAAATGGAAAACAGATCCAATTCCAAAATCTATAGGAAAAATTGAAATTTCGCCTGGTCCCTCTACCACGTTAAGGCATGCTACATCATCACGCCTATTATGGCAAATATTATTCGGGCAAGGCGATGCCGTGGCGGACGGTATTGTCCTTGAAGGAAGTGTCCGTTCAGGTGACGCCCTTCCCCTCGTTTACTGTGGCGTGGCGCTATCATCTGCTGAATTATCGCCAATCGAAAAGTATTCTGATGCATACAATTTCGCAACCCAGCAAAGATATGGGGCAGCCGTGATACAGTTCAAGTTTGAGGATGTCGTAGGGAATGCAAACTGCAGTCTGAAGGTCCTTGGAACAAAAACTGCCCATTTCTGGAAAGAAGTTTCGCAAATGTTATTGGTCGATTTTGGAAACAATTTTCAACGTCCAGATTATCTGAAAAATTTCGATCGTGGGGCATCTTGGACCCTTTACTATGACTATCAAGGGAGGTGGACCCATCCAGAATTTGTGTTTTCTGATAAGGTGAAAGTGCCTTGGGAAAAGGTTATGATAAGATTTGAAGATCACAATTGCGTAAACGGGTCGAACCTATGTCAGGATTGTATCATTTATCGAAAGATAAAAAATAAAGGGTCACGACGTGTGGTACTCGTGGGAAGGGACTACAATAGGTCGGAGGGTGGGAGAGATATCAAGATAAATAAGGAGACCCTTGAAGAGTTAGGTCTCCTCTCTAAAGACAAATTTTATTGTACCAAAGATTTGGCAATTTATTTATTCGCGATGAGAATTCCGACGGATAAAAGGGATTTGTTTTTGGGATCGTTTGCTACAATTTTTGAAGAGGATACTATTAAGCTTATTAAAAGACATTTTGCACTGAACACAGTAATTTTCTAATAATAGGAAACATATACTTTATGGATTTTGTGCTTGTGTTAAATACTAAAAGATAATAAATTCTTATAAATTGTATATTGTGTACACAAGGAATTATTATTTACACAGATGATTTTACATCGGAGATGATCGGTAAACATATATGTTAAGTGAATTTCTTAATTAAATTAGCATTCCAGTTTTGCTAACAGTGATACATATATTCTGACGCCCGGTATATACCTTCGCCTTTCTACTGTGCTATTGCGATATTAATATGATTTTTTGGATAGCTACTTACAATGGAAGGTTTTCTCATGTAAACCTCCGATCCTGATGGGACCAATTTTAATTTGATCGTGGTCAGAAATTAATGGATCCGTGTTTTTGCTTTTTCCAATGCTCACATTTGAGCGCGTGGTGGCGATTTCAAACTTTTTTCCAGGTAAAACCTCGGGTTTCAAAATTTCTGTAACTTTTTGAATTTTGGCACGAATTCAAAAAATGAAAAACATGTATGGGTAGAATTACTTCCCACACAAAGTACAAATTCAGTTTCAAAAAAGTTGGAAATTTCAAATTTTTGATCCGATTTGGATTTTGATGAAATAGCAAATCCACGAGAAATTTGAAATTTTAAAAATTTCGAAAACTAGATTTTTTTAAATACTCCATGAAGTAATCGAGATGACTGTAAAGTACGCTTGTTTATTCTAATCAATAAGTGTAATTTACAGCCACCTTGATCCAGAAATGATTCATCGTTATAACCTTAAACATTATTAAGCCCCTTTTTCGTACATACATGGACTCTAAACAATCTGGTAAAGTCACGCAGGTAATGATTTGTTGGTAATAATCTTTTACCAGGTGGTAAAAATTCGTTACCGGTATGATAAAACTCTATTAACAAGCTATTACCACACGGTATAACATGTCATTACCATCCTGGTAGAGTAATATACTTGTGAAATCCGGTAATGATTCTTACGAAATTATTTACAGTGTGCACGTATGAATATCATCCTCGCTTTGCCCCCTTTATTTACAATTTAGTAGGTTAGGTCCAAGTTACCTGAAATCTCTTACCTCTGACCCTTGTAGTCCTTGTGATATAGATGTTATCATATTTGAATAGTTTTTAATTTGAGACTATCTGACTCATTGGATTCTGTTTGTTCTATTATCCACACTAGATAACTGAAATTTGTAATTTGTAATTCTAACATCGTCATTAAGTAGAAAAGCCAAAAAATTCTAACCCTAAAATCATAAACGTGCCAGAGATGTGAGCTCGAGAAATCGTTCAAAATTAATACCTGGGTATTTAATAAATTCAAAATAAGTTGGTAGTAAAATCGCCATCGCGTGTAATCAATATGTGGCGCTAATGCTCACCAAGGAGCAACAAATAATTGTGCGAAATTTAAATTTAGCACTCACTATGCGGGAAAAAAATTGTTACCAGCAAAGTATCAAATTTGACTTGACAAGAATTTTTTTACTCTTTGGCGATAAGATCGTAGCCAGCGGTGTAGAGCCACGTATTATAACGGTATTATTTTGACTTTAACTTTGAGTGAAATCGATCACATCTATTACACCTTAATCAAGACTATTTTGATTAAGAAAAACCCTTCCTGAAAACACTTGGAATGCATATACAAGTACGAAATTAAGTGGGCGAGCATAAACCTCGAATCGATACATTTAATGTGGAGATGCATGTTTTCGTCATTCAATGATAATCAAATCGGATAACCTGGAATAATTATTGCAGTTAAAAACCACTTCTATTCGATACCTCCACGAGTCATCGATCGCATACAAAGTTCAAATTTGGGATATAAATTGCTGGCATATTTTATCTTCAAACCATTCTTAGAGGGCACAATGTTCACCTCAGAATTTCTTCCCGCCCTAAAATTGCTCGTTAGACGATGCAACTTCCTGCGTTGCATTCCTTTCGAATTTAACTACGAATCTCAACGGTTATCCAGATGTAAATCGAACTGGACGAACCGTTTCTTCCAATCTCAAGGCATCCTTTCTGTCCTATATACGACTGCACTCTTCCTAAACGTTTGTCGTGGACAACTATCGGTTGCGGAAAACTTCCAAGGTGGCATATTTTTCATGGTGTACCTTCTTGGCGCTGTTGGGAAGTGGAATTATTCACTGGACATTGCCCCTATTCAAATCATTAATGCAATTCTAGATTTCGAAAGGGATGTCTTAACTGGTAAATATTTTCGTTCAAATTAATTGTTTTATAAATCGTGACTGTGAGATTATACGGGAATTCGATGCGAGATATCAGAATCAATGTCGAATATGGAGAAGGGTAACACAAAATTTCGTCGAAATACATATTTCTTTCGATCCGGTAGGATAATTTATACCGATCGGTAACAAATTTCACGATTCCATGCAGCTCGCATTGTTAGTTAAGACTAAAGAGTAATTTGATCCAGTACATTTACTTAGTCCGATTCTATGCATTTTATACAGGATTTCCCAACTTACCCCCGACACTTGGAGAGAAAATTATGCGGATAATGAACATCTTACTGGACATTTCTTCTTCTGGAATTCCATTGTTTCAAATGCTCCTTCTAAACTATGCCCCGTGCACTTCGCCCTTCATCCTGTCCATGTTCCGAGACTGCCAGACAATACAAAGAACAGGCTTTGGAACAAGATTCGTGGTTGAAAAATGCATTCAAATCTTTGAAGTTTGGATGACTGTACAGGTCATGTACGCTTGTTGTGTTTGGTTCCTGCACGTAATCTTCGAAGGAATTGTCACAATTCTCACCTACATCAAGATATTACAAAGGTGAGATTTAGAAAACGATGAAAACTACAGTCTGGGGATATGAACGAGCTAAAATTCTTGTTAACACGCTGAAACTAAGCGTTTTTCAAGAACTTAAACCTTTCACACTGAAATTTCGTCTCCTCTAACGAAATGTTATATTTTATTTAAATTTGCAGATCATATTCTTTTAACTCATGATATTCATGCATAATCGAAACCATTTTCTAAATTGACCACAGAATTATAACCTGTAGATTATATAATTATTTTTCGAAGATTTAATGCACATTTCTCACAGATGTGTTAATGCGTTTTTAGTATATTTGAAAAATTTCAGGGAAATTGAAAAAATTCAAACCGGTCGTGACAAGGACACCAGTCTTCATCTATACCGTTGCATCCAAATCTTGGAGAAATCAATGAATCCGTACACCTCGGATAAAATCCTTCCTGCTATGCTTATCTGTTGCCCATCGATTCAAATAATTGGACAATTCGTATCCATAAATCTGCACGGTAGCATCCCCATGCCTGGATTCTTAGTATTTCCCTTAATGATGGTTGACACAACAATATTCAATGTTCTAATTGTCACCTTTGCATCCTTGATATTCAGCTCGTCGCAAAAAACCTTGCAATCTTTGGGTAAGAAATTGATGGAACGGGTTAATGAGAGGGGATTGACCAGGAGACAATTACGCTCTTGTTCAATGCTGAAGATCAAGTTCGGATCAAATTTCATTGATCGAGGGACACCTCTGGTTATACAAACTTTCTGTATTAATCAGACCATGTCACTTTCATTAATCTACTCTAAAAACGGACGTTGGTAATGTATGTATCCATCGTGACAAGAAAATGCTTTGGTATGTGGATTGTTCTAGTTAAGCTGGCAAAATTCAATAGGAACTTGTAACCGAAACCATGCATAATTAAAAGCTTGGGCCAATGTAGCTAGCTGATTAAAGTTACTCTTAGATCATCAGTCATGATATGTACTGATCGAGTTATAACACATAAATAAACGCTAAACAAACAAACAAACAAACAAGATAACTCAAATTTACACCAACTAATAATCCATCAATATAAGTTAGGGATAATAAATATTTAAAGCCGTCTAGAAGATTTCATTACTTCTAGCACAAGCCATGCTTATTGCATTTAATCAACTTAAACGTTGCTAATATTTGTCAGGGAAAGAACACAAGTGTGTACCAAATTCACAAGCGATATTCTCCACTAATTTAATACCTGACAAATGATCTAATTTAAATATTACGAGTACTTAATGTAAAGTTGCATATTATAATGAATGTATTCAGCTTAAATAATTTTAGATGGTGAAATGTCTAACCTGCTTGATCTTATTTTTGTCTGAGTCTTATTTTTTGGAAGATCATAAGCAAAAGTGGGACTCGTTAACTTCTCCGAAATTCGTAATACGAAATCGAAAGTCTCCGTTCTTCTGAATTTCATAAATTTCTTGTGATAATGTTGCTCCGCGTCACAAAATTTGACCCATGCATGCGAAATTTCAGCATGCAGTTTACCCACACTCCATGAAATTGATCAATCTTGAGTGGTTAAGTTGGAAAGTTGGAACGAAATATTAATAAAACGGGAAATTTGTTTCATATTAATAATATTTCTTGTTGTTCTCCAAAGGGGGTGTCCTAAGCTTCAGATTTTATTTCCGGATTTATTACCCTACAAAGTGACCTCCAACATATTTCATATCTGCGACGTCTCACCTTATTAGTAATTTGTATATAAGGATAATAATAATAAAAATAATGGCATTTATACAATTTAGATTTTAGCAGATTCATCATAAAGAATAGGTATCACGCCTAGAAATTAGCCGGAAATATGTGACCACTCTGATTATTATATTTCCAAAGCTTTGGTTTGCGTCGTTCTTACTCTTTTGATTCTTGTGGATCTATTTTTTTAAACTGGAAAATTGAAATATTAAATTTATAATTGAAATAAGTTAATTATGTGCACCGAAAAAAATTTTCTACAAATCAGAATCGCGTCTGAGATGTGATCACAAAAATTTGTTCTATATAACTTGCTCTCCCTTAAATGGTTTAGTGAAATGTATGTATCACAGCACCTTAATTAAGATTATGCATGTATATTTTAATTAGGATTACTGATCCACGTGTTATATCACTTTAATTATACAATTATGAAACAAAGTGGGAGTACATATGTATAGCTCGAACCTCTAACTTTAACGGGCGAATTCACTTGGTATGGAAGAATGATCAATCGGGATAA